CCCTAAAAATAACGCGAAAAGTGGAGGGTAGATCAAAAGCGGCAGCCTGCGCCGCGAAGCACATTATCTTCGTCCCCAAATTACCGTACAATAATTAGCTTTTGTCATCTCAAAACCCTAATTTTGGTACGCTCCCGACACCTCAACCCTTCGCAGGTAAATCCCTCTTTCATAGATTTCACCCCTGATGCGCCTCCGAGATCTTTTAGCTTCGTGGGTTTTGCTTTCTTTTGTTCCATGGAATCGTAAAATTTGGTGCAAATCATTTCTATTTGGTTCATATTTCATTGATTTTTCCAAATTTTATTGTTCATCTTCCTTGTGTTTTCTTCGTCTCAGGAGAAAATGAGTAGCCGTTCGAGCAGAACCATTTACGTCGGTAATCTCCCCGGCGATATTCGCGAGAGGGAAGTGGAGGATTTGTTCTACAAGGTGACCCACTTTTCGTAGCGTTCTTCTGTTTCAATTTGAATTGAACACTGCACGGCTTTCATTACCCTTTGCTATTATTAATTTGCCTCGGAACCTCCTCTAATTGGAGAAGACGAGAAGATATGGTAATCTGGACATTGATTTCTTGTGGTTTTGAGATTTACTGGTTTGAATGGAGAGATCACTGTTAGTGTTGCTGTTTAGAATCCTGGGTAAAGATATAATCTTTATAGTTTTTAAGATTTTTAGGGAGTAGAAGGCACTCAAATTTCGTTTATTCTGTTTGAAATTGGGTTGTTAAGCTTCCATGATTAACAGCTGAGCTTAAGACCATCTAAAAATCCAAGTGAAGACTTCATAACCTAAGCCTAGAAAATTTGGAAGTTGCTGATTTAACTCTGAGGACAAAATGGAAAGAAAACCTAAATAAAAGTGACCCAGAAAGCCACCAATGCTCACTGGATGGGCATGCAAATACAAATTTTCTCATTTTTAAGTTTATCATTTAGAATTATCTAAAACAATCAGAATGCTTATGGTAAATCCTTTTTTTGAGCATGCCAAAGAAAGGGATACCTATATGTTTTTCTGTGGGGATGTCAAAGGTGTTTGTGTATCACTATATCTTGCTTTCTTTACAACTTGCTCACTCCACTCTCATGTTTTCATTGTAGTATGGGGCTATAGCTCATATTGACCTGAAAATCCCACCAAGGCCTCCAGGTTATGCATTTGTTGAGGTAACTCAAAAAATGATTTCTATTGCTTTCTTTTTTGTCTTTGGCTCCTGGGGATTTATTGTTTGATTTTGTATTTTTGTGCCTCACTCAGTTTGAAGAGGCTCGAGATGCTGAAGATGCTATTCGTGGTCGTGATGGCTATGATTTTGACGGACATAGGTTACGGGTTAGTTACTTTTTTCATGCTATGTGCAACATGTGGATTAGATGGCACTGTACATTCTGATGTAGTCATGTGTATTGTTGGTCATAGGTGGAGCTTGCCCATGGTGGACGCAGGCCTTCGTCATCTGATCGTCATAGTAGTTATAGTAGTGGCCGTGGCCGTGGTCCATCCAGGCGTTCTGAATATCGTGGTTTGTGATCCAGGATGCATTTTAATTGTTCCATATGCTAGAGCCTAGAGATTAGGTTGCATGTGATATGGTATGTTTTTAATTCACTGCTCTCTGCTCATTTGTGCAGTGTTAGTCACTGGGCTACCATCTTCTGCTTCATGGCAAGATCTTAAGGTAAATAATTGTTCAAACATAGTTATTCCCCTTCTCCCTCTTCCTCCAGCTACTGCTGCTGTTCATTATGCATCTCTCTCTCTCCAGAAAATAATAAAGACCTTGATATGATGTGTTCTTTCCCAGGATCACATGCGTCGGGCTGGGGATGTTTGCTTTTCTCAAGTTTTCCGTGATGGAAGAGGTAAGGCAGTCTGCAACTTTCTTTTGGATGCTTAGTCTCTTCAGCAAATCTTTTAGCTTTTATTTACTGATTATCATTTTATGATCTCCAGGCACAACAGGGATTGTAGACTACACCAATTATGAAGACATGAAGTATGCAGTAAGTCATCTGTCACCTATTATCCTGTTATGGGCAGTTTGGAAGATATTGTTGTTAATTATCATGTATGCAATTACCTGGTCCTTTTTTGCAGATTAAGAAACTAGATGACTCTGAGTTTCGCAATTCATATTCTTCTGCTTATGTTCGGGTAAGTGTATTGACCTAGTATCTTGGAAATTTCAGGAAAAATTATTTATATAGTCATTCTTAGTTTGAATTAAAAGCAGGATCAGATTTTTGCCTACTTTTTAAGTTCTACCCTATAATTTTCTGGTCCAAATTGTTTACTATAGGTTAGGGAATATGATTCTAAGCGGGACTCATCCAAGAGTCCTAGTCGTGGTCGGTCATTATCAAAGAGCCGAAGTCGCAGCCGCAGTCGTGGTAATGATCGCAGTCCTAGCCAGAGCAAGAGCAGGAGGTTGTTCTTGTTACTTTTTATTTTTAGACTATCAATTTTGTATTGTGGTTGAAGTTGTTTGTGACCCATGTACTTACAATGCAGCAAGTCTCCAAAAACAAAACCTTCACGCCGATCTCCAGCTAGGTCAAGATCTAGATCTGCTTCTCGTTCTCCCTCTGCATCAAAACGTCGTTCTCCATCAAGGTATACCTTTTGTTTCTCTACTGTTTGATGTGCTTGATGTCCTTGTTTGATTAGATTTATGGTGTGTAAGTTCCATTCTTTTGGATGTGATTTTAATTTAGAGGACATTGTTAAGTGTTTTCCATTGACATCTTATTGTTCTATTTTCTGCTTCGGGCCATTGGGAAATGAGTTGATGATGTCATCTTGAAGTTCATTTCTTGCTGTTTGTAAGTTTTTTCTCTGATTTGAATCCATGTGGCCATGGTAAAATTAGAGTGGTGACATTTGTTTTGAGTGTGTTTGGAATGAAATAATTATTAGGTTTGGATGTTATTGTTTCTGGTCTCAACTTCCTCCTGTGGTTGTAGTGTGGAGATTTCTTTTTGATCTTCCATCTTTGTTTGTCCAGGAGATGGGTTAGCTCACAAAAGGGTTCTGGACTTTCGAACTATAACCATTCTCTCTTTGGTTATATGAAAATTGCCTTGCTTTTCTTTTCAATATTGGATATTTGCAGCTAACTGGGGATTGGATATTAGGATCTTGTGGGAATATGATTGCATTGCTTGCAACTCGTTTGGTTGCAGAGGTATGCTGTTTTTAAGATGGCCAATTTGAAAACCTTCATAGTGTCTTTCCTCTAATGTATATAGTATCGCAAATGTCCATTGGTGCTAGATTTGGGAACAAAGGAGACAATGGATTGCGATAATAGAGCTGGAATTCATTACGAGGAAATGCAATAATAAAGCTGGATATCAGTGAAGTAAATTCCATTGGGACTTGCAAATCACCATTCAATGGGCGGTAGAAACATGAACATACCATTGTTACTTTCAGCTCCAAAGAAACATGAATATTCCATTGTTCTTTTCAGCTCCAAATATTGCCAAGCTAATAGGACATGGTATCTGGATCACTTGTGGAGTTTATGGCTCAGTAGGGAAGCATGATCCTTCTATCCACTGGTGTTAAAAGTTTTTTAAAATGGGTCATTCTTTATTTAAGAATATCATTTTAAGTTGGGTGTTTTTTTATAGGCTGGTATATGCATCCAAAGTATTCTTTATTTCCTTTAAAACTGCTGAAGATTTTTTTGCTTCCTAGCCTTCCTTGAAATTGGTGAATATGACCTGGAAGGGGTATCAAGGCTCTCAGGAAAAAGTTGATAAAAGGATGATCCTGATGTTATATGTGTTTCTGGACCTTTTGCAGATCTCGTTCAAGATCCAAATCTCCTTTGCTTTCTGTAAGTGGTTTCTCATTTATTACTTTTAGTCATTTGTTATGTAAAGTTGGTAGAGACTGCCCCTATTTGGCAGGGGGTTGGACAAGTGAGTTAAAGGAGACATAATTCTGGTTTACTATTGTTCTTGTATTTGTTCTTCCCTTTTTTTTTTTTTTTTTTTTTTTTTTTATTGGTCTGCATCATCAGAAAGGAGCAAGTAAAAGCCCCAAAAAGCGCAGTCTTAGCAGGAGCCCTAGTGGGAGCAGAAGCAGGAGCAGGAGCTTATCTGGGTCTGTTTCTTATGCCCTTTGTTTAAACTCTTCATATAGTTTTAAGTTAATTATTTGTTGATTTTATTCAATTGCTGGAAGAAAAATGTCAGTTTCATGCTAGGTGCCATAGGCATCATATATTCGTGACTCTGCTTTTCTGTTAACCCCATTTTGATGATCCTTGTAACAAGTTCTGATCCAGACTGCAAATATATTTGGCAGGTGAGTGTAAGCTGATCTGTGATCCCCAACCAGAAGCACACCAAGTGATGGACTCCTCGACCTTTTAATTTTATTGTAAGCAGCAAAACCATTAATAAGGTGGACAAATCATGCTGGGATTTTATGGATGGATTTTGAACTTTGATGTTTGTCTGTTTGTCCTATGTTTGAAAACTTGATTGTCATGCTTGGAGGGATTTCAATACCGGATTATTTGTATTTGAATGGAGATTAGTCTTTCTTCTATGAGGCAAAAATTGGGTTCGAAATCCTGATCACACTATCACAAAGGCTAGCTTTAAGCTGCCAAGCCACCTAGGTGGAGATTAGTCTTGGCTGTTATACAAGGCCTGAAATTTGGTTTGGATTTTGAGGCTCACGGCTGTGTTCAACAGAAATGGTTACTGACGCTTAACAAGAGACGAAAATATTATGCTTATGCTCGATATTATAAGTTTATAATTATAACGTGTTAAATGTGTGCTGTGTTTCTGTCCCTTGACCATACGAGACAACGGGATAAGGTGATAATTGATGACTTTCATAAATGTCAGGCATGTGAAATGTATACAGGGAACATAGATGATGCAAGCAGCGAGTGCAGTGAATCGAGTAATGAAAATTGAAAACCCTCATTCTCAACATTGTACTGGTAAGGTGATCGGCCTTAAATGATAAGTAAATGAAGTTGTGTGGCTTGAGTGTCGTTTAACTAATTATTTAAACAAAGGTGCCAGAAGTTTTACGGTGAAACGACAGGACCATGCGGCGAAAAGCAGCCCCTTTTTAATGCCTAAAATAATTGAAAAGAAAACAGAGACAAAACACACCGGAGTTGTTGGAAACTCCGTTGGAGGCAGCACACCGGAATCCCTTCCGTAGGGAGGAGGAAACCCAAAAATATTAGAGCTATATTGCATTCACAAAATCAGGCATCCCAAATCAGAATACTTTCGGGTTCCATTTCCACCGTCTAGCCAGAATGAAGGAGACCGCCCGCCTTGTCTATGATTTCCGAGGATGACGTCCTCAACATCGTCTTCAAACTCGAGGACGACCCCAGAAACTGGGCTCGTCTCGCCTGCGTCTGCACCAAATTCTCCTTTCTTATTCGCAACGCTTGCCTGAAGCAAAAGCGCTTCAAAACGATTCCCGCGGTTTCCACTGATTTACTCACCGCTTCCTACTTCCCACCTGGTGGGTGGGCTGCTCTCCACAAGCTCGCCATCTACTGCCGGGCACTTCTCCACGCCGGTGTCCTTTTTGAGCACGCTGATTTTGGCCTCGATCGGAAGCTGGGGCCCGACGAGAATTATCATAGGCTGGAGATTCCTCAGGACTCAAAACCACCCACCGAGCCTTGTTACAGCAAAAATGAAGGAAATCTGGAGATGGGTGCTCCTGCATCCGATTGTTCTTGGTCGCTTTTCAATGATCTGTATTTCGACACCGTGTATAACGCATCTGAATACCAAAATGGTTTAGGCGAAGAAGTTATTGAGAAGGGGGCAATCAAGGTAGGCGGTGATTTTTCCGTTTGTAAGAAGGGGAAGATCCGTAGATCTTTCCAGTCGCATTTGGCATCTACGGTTTGGAATCTAAGCAGGGAGCAAGGAAACAAATTGGTAGCGAGCAGGTTCCGGGCGATTGCTTATACATCCGTAATTGGCCTGGTTGTGTTCATATTGAGGAGACGCGAAACTACTATTCCGAGGGATTTTCCAGGATTTCAAGAGCTCTCGCGTTTGGAGGACGATGAACGATGGGAATCGGAGCAAGATTGACCTGAATTGTTCTCTCATGCAGGGAGACTTGGGATCTGCATTCTGCGTTCTGTTTGAGTTGGGTGTTCAAGTACCATGATGATGGGGGAGACAGTTGTTCGAGCTTATGTCTGTGAGAATGGGCATGTTTCTGGTGCTTGGACGGATTGGCGTTTATACAATTGAAACGTTCTTTTGCGAGTTTCTTAGTTGCTCATTGATATTTGATGGGTCGAGAAATTCGGAAGGATTTGTTTAGGTTTGTCCAAAGCTGTCTGTTGTTGTTATTGATGTTTCAATCACCCTGTTTCATGTACTGGCATTAAGCACTATTAATGAATATTATTCTTTCATTGAATCTGATGATTCTGGTGCCTTGAAATGTGATGATATCTAAGCTTGATTCGATTCTTACCTGATATTAAAGTTTAGATTATCAAGTAGATTACTTGCTCATGTAGTCGTTCAATGGCTCAGCAGTGTCCCAGGAATTGGCTGTTGAGGTGAAAGAGTCCAAGACCATACCACAAAGCAAAAGATCCAAATACTGTACGTTGCCAACTTGGATGGTTATATTCTCTGATCTCCTTGAATCTTTTACGACACAGCATTTCAGCCCAAGGAAATACTTACCAAGTCAGAATAAGCAATCTTGTATGGCTGTTTCTAGACCACTCGTCACTTAGCCTTACTTTCAGCCAAGAACCATTACCTTGGTCCACACTAAATAGACCATTTAATTTTTTTTTTTTGACAAAAACAATGATTAGTAAGTTATTTTTTTATTAATTGTTAGTAACTGAGAATTCATTATCAAATTTGATGGATATCTCACTTCTCTCAGTGAGGTGCGCAGCCCATCGAACCGTTTGATGAAGTTCAATCAATCATTTAATTTAGCAAAAGAATACAAATTTCTAGCTTTTGAAAATCACCCTTCACTTCTTCATCAGTTGCGTTTGCGTTCTGTTTTTTATTTCCTTGACATTAACAGCCCTATCTTGACATTGTAAACAAAGACAAAAACACAAGCCAAACTCGGCTTTATCATGCCTTCAGTAGCCCTCAAAGGTGCAAAGAGTTCCTTAGCGTCCCCCAACTCCTGTTTAATTCTTCTCACCATTAAAATGAAGAACATTCTCTCTTTCTTGCTTATAACCCTGCTAAATTTAGCAGTAGCGGTGCTCAGTGCCAACGAATTTACCAGATATGACTTCCCTCATGACTTTATTTTCGGTTCTGGCACCACTGCTTATCAGGTCTGTTTCCATGTTATTAATCATTATCTTCCCATTTTCTAATTTCCTTTCCCTTTCATTATAGTAAACATTGCAATGTTCTGAAGAATGAGATGCTTCTGTTGAATCTGTTGATATATTGAAGGTGGAGGGAGCAGCAAATGAAGATGGGAGGACTTCTAGCATCTGGGATACTTTCTGCCATGCCGGTTTGCCTCCTCTTACTCATATTCATCACCTAATTTCCCGTAGCATTTTCTTGTCTATGTTCTTTGCTGTAAAACCTATTGATTGTGAAATTAGGGTTTGGAAGTAGTTTAAAATTTTTCTGCTACTATAATACTAATTATGGTTTTCTTTCCTTCATCTGGCGTAACTTGTTTTAAATTTGTAACCAGGTTTAGAAATAATTTGGGTAAAAAGAAAAGTTCATACCAAATAATTTGCATATAATGTCAAAGTGGGGAACTAATAAGTTCATACCATATTTTGCTGATTAGCTCAAACCATCTGTTCTTTATTGAACCCTGAGACTGGCGTGGAGGCATTTGGGAAAAGTTGAATGCTATTTTTAGTTCTTAAACTTTAATTTTGAATATTTTTAATCTTTAAACTATGTTTTACACTTTTTTTGTGTCTAAAATGTAAAAAATGTGCTTTTTTTAGTCATTTTATTAGTTTAAAATGTGTGCATATGAATAGACTTAATATAAAATCTAACTAAAAAAAATAAAACAGTGCATTTTATAGTTCAGAACAAGAAAAATGCAAAAAAATAATTCAAAGACTAAAAATGTTCAAAATTAAAAGTTTAAAGACTAAAAATAACATTCAACCATTGGAAAAAAGGAGGACTATCTCTTATTGTAAAGAAATACTGTATTCATGTGTCAATTCTTATTTGTGGTTCTGTCTTGAACTTTTCAGGGTATGCAAATGGGGCCAATGGAGACATTGCTTGTGATCAATATCACAAATACAAGGTGAGTAAAGGGAACATACTCCATGATTTCATTCCTTGGTGGTCTTTAATTGCCTTCATCCTTTTATTATTGTCCATGGGGAAAGCAAATAACCGATGTTTTTACCATGATGAAATTTCAGGGAGATGTGCAACTCATGGTGGAAACAGGTTTAGATGCCTATAGATTTTCCATCTCCTGGTCAAGATTGATTCCAAGTATGCCTTTCAAATCTTCACCAAATCATATCAACAAATGCAGAAACGAGCAGCCAGCTCATCTTTTTCTCACATTTTACCTTCATGTATATTTTTAGATGGAAGAGGCCCTGTAAATCCAAAGGGGTTGCTGTATTACAACAATCTCATCAATGAACTAATCAGCCATGGTTAGGAGCACCCTTCCACCATTTCTTTAGTTGAAAAATATAGTGTCTTCTTTAAATCTACTGACATATTTCTGTGGTTTGATCAAGCAGGAATACAACCTCATGTCACATTACACAATTATGATCTTCCACAAGCACTTGAAGACGAGTATGGAGGATGGCTTAACAAGAGAATTGTGTACTATTCTTATCCATTCAAATTTGCCTTGCTGTACTTGTGGTAAACTAGTCATAAAAGGTGTCAATATATCAAATCATTTTATGTCAATACAGGAAAGACTTCATAGATTATGCGGATGTGTGCTTCCGTGAATTTGGTGACAGGGTTTTGTATTGGACAACTGTGAATGAACCTAATATATTTGCAATTGGAAGTTATTCTGGGGGAATGACTCCGCCTAGGCGTTGTTCTCCTACC